GGGGATGGGTTAGCCTGGTGATGGGTATTAAAGAGGGCATGTTCTGCGTGGAGCACTGGGTATTATGCACAAACAATGAATCATGGAACACTACATTAAAAACTAATGATGTAATGTATGGTGATTAACATAACAATAAAAAATTTAAAAAATTTTTAAATTATATAAACTTACAATAACATAAACTACATTAAGAGCAAAGGTAATAATCGAAACTCATCACCTCCTAATTATTTACTACATTTTTGAATTATCTATGAGCTTGAGGTTAAGTCCACTGTACCTGCACGGTGGTATATAGTAATGTAGAGTATATAACAGTACTATATATACAATAGTATAGTAGACAATAGTGCCCTGCTATGCATCTGTTTCCAAATCTGTGTTCAGCATCAGCATGTTGGTAGCTTAGAACTGACAGTGGTGGGAGGACCTACATCACAGAAATCAGCAAACAGTGCAAATCAAGGCTTTTTCCCCCCCGGGCCCCTCCCGCCCAGATCCTATTGTTACCAGACTATCACTGCTTACAACCTATCCCAAGAGGCTGTAGGTTGTATTAGGATCCCCGTTTGACAGATGAAGCTCCGTCAGTTGCCTCCAACTGCCTAATGAGTTAAGTGCCTGCCCTGAATCTCAAACCCAGTTTTCTAACCCCCAAATCAGGACCCTTTGGGTATGATATCCCAGCTTACTCTTACCAAAAATGATTATTAAAAACACACAAAAAGACCTTAGAGTGTCAAAAAACCCAAATAGGGATTGGACAAACAGTGATCCCAAACACTGAAGGACAGTCAGGTAAATATTTTTTTTGTCACCAACATTTACCTGATTTCTAAATACAACACACACTTGTGGACAATTTTAACACCTAATTTCTGCAATTTTATAGATTTAATCTCACCAATTTCTCATTCATGGCTGCATCAAATTTTGCTTGTACTTTATCCAGCTCGCCTTGTTTCTCATCGAGCAGAGCCTGTGCCTTCCCCAGCTCAGCATTAGCAACTGCCAGACGGCCCTCCTGCTTGGCCAGGTTAGCCTTCAAAAGGAAGAAGAGGTCACTGCATGGAGTGGTAGTAGGTCTGCAAAATATTTTTGGTTTTATTGGTAAATAATAACAAGAATTGCACAATTTTTGCCCAAGATGGTATTTAGAGGCTTAAGTGTGTTCAGCTGGGGAAGCAAAGAGTGTTGGAGATATTCCATTAAAGTTCTATTTTTTCATTTTTCTTTTTTAAAGTAGGCTCCACGACCCACGTGGAGCCCAGGCTCGATCTCACGACCCTGAGATCAAGACCTGAGCTGAGATCAAGAGCCAGACACTTAATGGACTGAGCCTCCCAGGTACCCCTCTCTTTTTTCTTTTAATTATTAATGTTCAATATAGAAAACATGGGGAAAATGCAGCAATGCATAGAAAGGATAACAGAAATTACCTGTGATTTTACTCAGAGAGAGTCTGAGTATTGTGTTAAGAAGGTGATAACTGGCATTTTCCAATTCTTTTCCTTTTCACTTAATATAGTATAATCATTTCCCCTTAAACATGTCCTTAAGCACTTTTTCATGAGTATTAGTAATATGGCTGCATAATATCACACTATTTGGATGTATCATAATTTACCTAACTTTTGCCCTACTTTTAGACATCCCCCCCATTTTAAATTATTATAAATAAAGCTATTGGGCATGCAAAATTTGGGATTGTTTCCTTCATAAAGATTTTTTGAAGTGAAATAACTGTAATGGTAGATTTTTCATCTTTTTCTAAGTCCTAGAGCATGGACTTAAAAATTATCTGTTTCTTAGAAATGATCTGTTTCTTAGAAATTTAAAAGAATCGGTAAAGTAAAGCAGCCCCAAAGCCTCCTGGAGTAGAAGTTTTTTGATAACAGTCTCATTTTCTTTCTCAATATTTAATTATTTAAATTTAGCCCTTTTTTGCAGAAAATATTAATTTAATTAGTATTACTATTATTGTTATTAAATTTAAATTTTCTAATATATTTACATATAACTTTAAAATTTTCTTTCTAATTATTTAAATCCACATATCTGTGATTATACATATTTTCTTCTTGATTATATTTTCCAAGAACATATCTTTTATATTTTGTTTTTGCAAAGGAACACTCTTCAATTCTGCTACTTTTCTCTAATTTTTAATGTTATTTTTATTAGCTCTATTCCACTTTCCTTAAGTTTTGTGTGTATGTGTATTTATAAGTGAGTATGTACTAGAGTGTTTAGTTTAATTAATTTAAGAGCTAAGAACATGCCATTGGACCACATCACAAAAGCTTTGGTAACTAACTTTGTCATCATTTCCTAAAAAGAAATTATTGGCTTTTTTTTTTAATGCAAACTTTCTGATTTTATTGCTTATAATCAGAGAATGAGACCCCAGCAAACAAACAGTGCTTTCTGCTTTTGGTAACTGAATCAAGATCTTCCTTTATCGTTGAGTATGATCAATTTTTGTAAATGTTTCTCAGTCACTAGAAGTAATTTCATATTCTTTGTTCATATTCAAGAAAGTTCAATGCAGCTATTCAACCTTAAAAATGATACAGTGTAAAATCTCTATATAATTATTAGTTTATGCCTGCTAAAAACTAGCTACATAATTTGCAGGGCTCAGTACAAAATTAAAAATGTGGAGTCCATTATTAAAAAATTATTAAGAACTTCAAGAGGGTGACAGCAGCCCATTAAGCCAAGCATGGATCCTTCTAAATTCGGGGTCTTGTGTGAACAGGTCACACACCCATAAAAACCAGCCCTGCACAATCTCAAATTACTATTGTTTTTGTTAATTTCCACTTAACATATTAATGCATTTTGCTTTTTGTAATTTGATAATATTTTATTTATTACAAAAGCATTATTACAGTTAAGTTTCACTGTGGATCATAATTTTTAGTAAAAATTAACTCTGTTCTTCTGAGTGCATTTTTTCTTAAATTCTATATCCCTTGGTATCTTTTGGTTTGAGTGGATTCCTACATTTTCTCATCATTTCCCTTTATTAAAACTTTCTTATTTTTAACATATTTTCTATTTTTCTCCGAGTTACCTATGTGCAGAGTTTTAAAAGGCAGTCATTTCTATAGGGTTTATTATGACAACCAGCAACACCCTGCCCACCAGCTCATCATTTTCCATTCCACAGAGCAACCACTTTCAACTCTTTTAGCTTTATGCAGAGGGGGGTGGCACAGGAGGGTAGCGTGCGTCTGGGTGGTGTATTTTATGAATCCTTTGCACTCCTGCGAATGTCGTTCTGTTCCCTCAGACCTGAAGAACAGCCTGGAGCAGCATAAACGGTGTGCGTGCGCGTGCGCGTATGCATGCATGCATGCACCTACCACTCAGTACTTAAATCGCATCCTTAAGAGCGTCTTTTTGTTCCTTTGTACATGAAGGGCAGCTTGGCCAGTTATTGCATTCTTGGGCCACAGCAATGTCCTCAATACTCTGCACATATTTTTCCATTACATTCTAATATATAGGGTTGCAGGAAGTCTGTGCCATCCTGATTTCTCTTCTGCAACCTTTTTTGATTTTGTTTGTTTGATCATTTGTTTCTTAAATGCATATAAGGTTTTTTTCCCTATCTTTCAAATTTAAAACATTTCTGGGTATTGAGCTTAATTTTTATAAACTTTGTTGGGAATCAACAATTTAATCTCTTTAAACTTTAAAGAAATGGCAGGTTTTCCTTTATGACAGCTTAATTATTACTGGCAATGAAGTCATTTCCTCTTTAACAAATTGGTTTTGATTTCTTGTCTGCGATGCCAAGAATGGCAGATGTAAAGAAAATGAGAAATGCGAGAGGACATGAAGAAAATAAAAAATTTAGTCAAAATTATGCTTTGTCTTTTCATAGCAGTAATACTGGTGATGGATTTTATTAAACATTGATCTCCTAGGAGAAGGAGGGAAACTCTTACCTTCAGAGGTAACACTTCTCTATTGATACCATAAAATGTTGCCATAGCAAGGGTCCAAGACAGCAGACCAGCCACATTCCCACAGACTTTTTTGGCATTTTCCAAAGAATAATCATCCATGTTAAAATATGGCTGGAGCAACTCAACAGTCTCTTCATTTATAGTATCCTTGGGGAACTGCTGAAGGCTCCACAGGAACCCTGCTGCACTCATCAACTGAAAAATAGCACTACAACCTGTAAGTTCTGGGAGAAAATAAATACTTTCTTTCTGAGTTAGTATATAATTCTAAATTGAATTTTTTCAAAGTAACAATTGATATACTCTTAAACATACAAATCAAGACTATGACACCAGATGACCTAAATCTGTAAGTTGCAAATTGTCTTCCCATCACCATGGTGAAAAAGTAAAGAAGAAAAGATATGTAAGTTTCCTGTCCAGTGTGTGCATTTGAATGCCACCAACTACACAAGCTCCCTTTTGGAGACTGGGTTGGGGTGACTTCAAGAGTGTGCCAAGGGGCACCTGGGTGGCTCAGTCAGTTAAGTGTCTGCGTTCGGCTCAGGTCACAATCCCAGGATCATGGAATCGAGCCTCACATCGGGCTCCCTGCTCAGTATGGAGCCTGCTTCTCCCTCTCCCTCTGCCGCTACCCTGTGCTTGTGCTCTCTCCTTCTCTCTCAATGTCAAATAAATAAGTAAAATCTTAAAATCTTAAAATCTTAAAAATAAAAGTGTGCCAATACCAGCCTCTGGTTTTAGACACTTTTTACAAAAAGAAACCACTGGGCTTTCCCTACTTACACTTTGGGAGATGCAATCTAAGAAAAACTCTTCAGTACACAATTATCAATTACTGCCTGCCAGCTTGTGTGGTCTATATTGAAGGTCCTGGGCTGGGGACACCTGATGCACCTTATAGGACTTGCAAAGATTTTTTACTTACTTTTAATGACTCTCCCCAGGAAGGCTTGCAGCAAGGTTTTTCTGGATCCATAGTGACTGGGTCAATTTTCTTTTGAAACAGTAGCAGGACACAGTCCATGATTCTCATAATAAGATGCGGGGGCTTTGCAAGTTTCCTGACTGTGGCGATATCATTTGGTTTGATAGTCTGTATTTGGGATTAGGAATTGATATATTTTTTGGTGAGTAGTATTAATAATCATATGGAAATCTAATGCTTTTAAACAATGAAAGTAGAAAACTTTAAAATGTATTTACTCCCCATCCCCTGACATTATCTCCTTAAGGGTTTGTACTCCAAGAGTTTTGCATAATGGTTCTTTCATTGTTATCTTGGGATTTCTATTCATTTTTACTCTCTTTTCTCCTGTTGCCCTCAACTAATTGCATAGAATATCACTACCATTCATTGCCCACCACTCCAAGCCTCTGTTGGCAACAAGCCTCATTGATCGGTAACATTCGGATAACTTGTATCTTCAAAGCACATACTCTATGTGTGGTATGAAAAGAGAAGCAAGGCTCTGAATATCAGAAACCTCACATTCAGTGTTCTTTTGAGGGCTGCCCTATCTACAGAAGGGGGAGAAATTCAAAGGAGAAAAGAGAAGTTATTATACCATATGACTCACAAAAATATTTTTCAAAGTTTCTATCTGTCACCTGAGTTTGGAATAAGACGTTAGCTGATATTCAAGGCAAGAAAGATTGGAACATAACATGATCAATAACATCCCCTAAGACTTGTTTGTTCAGTGATTTCTCATTCTTGTATATTATTGTAGGACTCATAAAGGGAGTGGGGGTGGAGAATGTGTCCTGATCATTGTCACAATTTTATTAAATGATTATCATAAATCTAGTCATTCAACAAATACAGACATCCTCCCATTTAAAAAAAAGAAAGAAAATAAAGAAAAATTGCCCTGTCCTCATAACCTTCGAAGGAAGAGAAAGAAAGCACAATTACCCTAAACTAGAATTGTCATCATGTTAGAAGCAGAGGGGTGACAGGAAACACAACGGAGAGCCAGAAGAGCTAAAACCTTCCTGGAAGGGATGAGCCTGGTCCTGGAGAATGACTCTTATTAGGCAACGAAGGTTAGGGAAAGCATTCCTGGCAGAGGGAGAGACACATTTAAACAGACCATGATTCTTCCAGAAGCCTATGGGTGTTTCTGCATGGCTGGACCATACTGTGTGTAGAGACAGAATGACGGAAGGGCTCAAGGGGCAGATAGGAGCCCAGTTATCAGTTTCAACAGCAGCACTGATATTTACTGAGTACTTTCTGTGTGCCCAGCAAACTGTATTCATTACTTTTAATGCTTACATTGATCCTTCAAGGATCAATGAGCAATTATAATATCCACAGAGATCCAAAACAGTTTACTTTTTTACTTTTACCTAGTAAAAAAATTTACTCCAGATCATCTATTTAAGGAGTAGTTGTTGCGAGAGGCAACTGTAGGCTGCCTCCAGCTGTGGATGCCTAACCACGGACCTTATCCTAAGAGCCCCCCAGAACCCGTGAGATTTTTAAAGGGCACATAATGTAATCTGGAGGAGATGCTTTGGAGGAACTGGGGAGGCTCTCTATATAATCTGAATCCGTTATGCTATTGTTCAGGCCATGAATCACTCGCATTATTTCTCAGCTGTCCTGGAAGGCTGATTTATGGAACGAAACTAGTAAGTTATAAGAACTGAAGACTTAAAAAAATTAGAACTTAGAATATTGAATCAACAGAAACATTTGTCTTCAGACTCAGAGATTATTAATCACATTAGAATTCCATTCAGTTTTCAGATTCTAGAAGTTGCCCAGTGAATTTCACGGAACAACCCATGGAGTGGGCTGGGACTGGTGTTGAGAGGGGTAACAGCACATGCTCACATTCAGGGCTGCCTCTGCTTCTTCAAGGGCAGGTTTGGCCGCCTCCAGCTTGGTCTCAGCTTTTACTTTCTCACTGTCGATTTCATCCACAATTTTTTGGGCTTTGTCTTTCACCTCCTGCACTTCGTTTTTCACTTTGGCTGACGCCTGAGCACTTACCGTGACTTCTGCCAGTACCTGTTAAATTGAGGGAACACATGAGGGCAAATAGGTAGCTTTTGAGCAAAATTGACAGATTTGAGCAGTGAGATTATTCACTATAAGATAAAACACAAATAAGAGCAAATTTATTCCCTATGTATATTTTCTATATATTCCCTAAGGTGTAATACACCTAAAAGTGTATTAAAGTAACTCCTTTAAGCAGTTCCTTGAAATCTTCTATGTCCTAAGCTTTCCTGAGGCTTACAAATATATAAATATACTATGTATTATATTTATATATACAGAATATATACATAAACATCTTAAGCTTTCATGAAAATGGTATTTCCACTCTATGTAATTTCTAGAAAATTAACACAGTTCAAGTATGTGTAATGGAATAAGGTCAGAAACCATATCAATGCCCATGTAATGAAAATAAAATAGGTTATGTTTGTTGAGTGTCTACCATATAGTGGGACCATGCTAAGACCCTCTCCTATGCTATCTCTCTCATTTCAGTAACTGGCTAAGGGTTGGGATGTAGGTATCCACTCTTAACCGACTCAGTGAGTGGAAGCTGAAAGCAGTCACAGATGGGCAGGTTCACAGATCAAGGAGCAGCAGACATATATCCCTATCAACTTGGGAGGAGGATTTTTTTTTAACTCCACCAACAATTCCTCTTAGTTTTTTTCCCTCCTTGACACAAACTTCAGATGAGACTTGGGCCATTCTAGAGACTCAGAGCATGCAGGGACCTCAAAGAGAAGACCAAATATAACTTAGGGAGAGGCAAACATTTCATAGACAGATGAGAGAGAACAAAAGATACAGACCCAGAGAAGAAAGAATAGTCTTAGACGAGGTAGGGGAGATAATAATTTAGGTGACTCTTGGTATAAGTTAAACAAAAATACTTAATTGTCATTGTGAACAGTATCTCACTAGAAATAGTCTATGGGTTTATACATTATTTATTTTTCATAACATTTTTAAACAATGCTTTTTAAAATGTGGAATACTATTCCTCACCACTAGTTATACAGTAAATGCCAACTCACTTCATCTGCTTTTACAGAAGCCACCGCCAACTCCTTCTCCTTTACAGCAAGATCCTGAGAGAGCTTAGCCACAGATTCACTCGCCTCCATAAGCTTGTCAAGACCTTTACAAACACACACACATACACGTTTGCTTAGTATCTGAACATCCCTTCATCCAATTTACTACTTCTAAGGCATTGAACTAATATTATTAACAAGCACCAGATAGTTATTTATGGACAAATACATATATATGAGGCGCATCGATACTGACCATATCTCTGAGGGTTTTGGCCGTGGGGGGAAGCGCACCAACTAGCTAAATTTAAGGGAAGGTCACAATGCCATACTGAGTAAGATTAACTGAGTCAAGAAACTTATGTGACAAACTTAGTGCTCTCCTTGGCTTTGCAAACATCATTTTTAATGATGTAAATATCTTTTTTTTTTGCCTTTGAATCACACTGCAGCTGGAACAAATGAAAGGTTAATATAGTCATAGTCACGTGGTTCTCTTTGCTACGAAAATGAAAACAGCTGCTAACACCTGGGCTGCTGGCTCTGTGACTCTCAGCACCACAGAGCACAATAACCAGTTAACAGGATTTTCTCACATTCCAACTGAGTTCTAGCCAATAGTGTGTTGGTGACTGTTTAGCATCTGAGTCTCTTGGGGGAGAAGGGCAACACTCATCTGTACGTTTCCCAATTTCCATGGTGTCAGTATTCTCACCAGGGCTGATTTGAAGTTACCAAGAGACTCCCAGTAGCACACCATTCATTATATGTCTACCATACTGATAGAATAGAAATAAATAACCTCAAGAACATTAATAGCAGTAAAATAGAGTAAAAATAACTAAGATGTGATGAATGTTGAGTATTCTTGCCTTTTTCTTTTTTTTAAGGTTTTATTTATTTATTTTATGGAGAGAGAGAAGGAGAGAGCACAAGCAAGGAGGAAGTGGCAGAGGGAGAGGGAGAAGCAGGCTCCACACTGAGCAGAGAGCCTGATGTGGGGCTCCATCCCAGGACCCCAAGATCATGACCTGAGCTGAAGGCAGACGCTTAACCAACTGAGCCACCCAGGTGCCCCTGTTCTTGCATTTTTCAAATATAATTTACTTAATTGTAAGTTTATAGGATTTAATTTTTAATTAAGGATGTGTTTAATAACCAGATCATAAAATTCCTATGAATTAACAATCAACTCTAGAGCCTACAAGTATCTCCAGCCCACCACTGATTATAGAGTATCTTATGGAAAGCTACAAGAAGGTGAGCCATGAGAAAAACAGAGGACGGTTTCTTCCACAGTGTTTCCATTACTATAACTGCACAGACCTTGCAGCTCAGTTATGCTATGGGATCACATTTTTTGCAGAAGAAGTGTTGGGGGGGATTTTTGCACTTCTTTTTTGGACTGTGTGGGCCATAATGCTTTCTGGACATATAATTGTTCCAATTTATACTTTTCCTGCTTACATGTATTGGACATAGAAATCCATTGTTCAGGTAAACTACCTCTTTCAGTTTTGATTTGTCTATTTTTCCTTTTCTTTTGTTAGAAATTTGAGAAGCATTAACATGGCAAAGTTTATGCAAGTGAAGGCAAATTGATTATAATGAAACCAAAAACTGAAATCATGGTCAGTTCCCAAGAGCCGGATTTTCTCCACCTGCAGTAGCAGCTCAGTAACTATGGGGATTCCTGGCCCAACAGCCTGGACCCAGAATTGGAGGGGCAGGGAGAAAATGGTTCCAGAGAGGAAACAGGCTACCTCCTTTTTTAGATTTTCTTCTACCTGGAAGCTTCTTCTTCTTTTTTTTTAAGATTTTATTTATTTATTTGAGAGAGAAAGAGAGAACGAGTGAGAGAGCACAAGCAGGGGGAGCAGCAGAGGGAGAAGGAGAAGAAGGCTCCCCACTGAGCACAGAGCCCAATGGGGGCTCGATCCCAGGGCCCCAAGATCATGACCTGATCTGAAGGTAGATACTTAACCAACTGAGCCACCCAGGCACCCCTGCCTGGAAGCTTCTTAACGGTAAAAGACCCTAACAGCATCCCTCAAAATAATCTATTACTGATAGTAAAGTCAGTATTTTGCTTTTAAACACAATATCCACCAGTGTGGATTCCTATCAAAAAGCCCTTAAAAGATTCAATTCTCCAGGCACCTGTGTGACTCAGTCGGTTAAGCGGCTGCCTTCGGCCCAGGTCATGATCTCAGGGTCCGGGGATCGAGCCCCACATGGGGTTCCCTGCTAAGTGGGGAGTCTGCTTCTCCCTCTCCTCCCAGCTTGTGTTCTCTCTCGCTATCTCTCTCTCTCTCTCAAATGCATGAATAAAATCTTAAATAAAATAAATAAATAAATAAATAAAAGATTCCATTCTGCTTACCAATATTCATACGTTCAGCTTGTTCATTGATATGTTTCACTTTTTCAGTATAAATGTTTTTATAACCATTTATAAATGAGAGATAAGACTTGGGAGTCACGTGTGCTCTTCGGCGGTATCTGAAAGTAGAACGTAAAAATGATCTTCATCTCTATCATTCTGATGTATTCCTGGAAAGAATCCTACAGATGCTCTTCCCACTGTGGAATCAGTGTAATTCTGAAGGGTGATTCACTAGCCAGAGGGCAGGATTTGTGAATGGTTTTCCTAGAGGTGAGGTGGAAAGAACACTAAATATCTGGTGTTTTGACCTTTTGAGGGGTCTTCGACTCAACCCTTATCTCACTCCGGGCTTCTGTTTCCTCATCTAGAAAACTAAGAAAAAAAATCATTGCCCTACACCGGCCAGCATTTTGTGTGTGTGTGGGGGGAAATATATATATATATATGGCACATGTAAATACACTTTGTAAACTTTAAGGTTCTATACAAATATTAGGGATATGTGGTCAAAATGAATTTGTGCTGTGATCTGTTTTCATTCAATGGGTATTTGCTACACACCTCTTCACTGCTAGAACCCAGCTGGGTGAGCTTACAAAAATGAAAGCCAGTCTCTCCCCATGATTCACCAGATCTCCTTGAAATCATGGCAACCACCCTTGATTCACACGTTCAACTCACTATGGTTGAGTACAGTAATCCTATTTAACAGTAGAATTAAATAAAAGGAATAATTTTATGCAAGAGAAACTCAAGTCAAAGAAGAGCTCCTCACACACTATAAAATCATTTTACCTTTTAATTAATTTTTCACTTTTGGAGTTGTGAAGATTTTTAACATTAAAGAAAAATTTTAAGGACCTGGGCATTTACATGACTAGCACTTAAGCATTTGACAAGTATCACATTCAGAATAAACTTCTCCAACCTAAAAGGATATGAAAATTTTAGAAAATACACCAAATTTTTCTAAAAATAAGGACACAGGTTTTCATAATTGTAAGAAGGTAAAACTTCCCATGGATGACAGTGACAGAAGGAGTTCAAGTTAAATGGAAGGAAAATCTTGCTAACCATAAGAATACACACGGATCCACCAAGAGGATCTGGAAGGTTATCTAGAACTATTTAAGGGGGGGTGCGTTTCCTGGGCATAGTTTTCAGTATAGAAAAGGGTCCAGGATACACATACTTTTGTGAGATAGGAACCCCCTGAAAAATCCATGAAAGTGTTACACAGACTCTCTAGGTGGAAAAACTCTTTCTGGCAGGTTCAGTGCCCCCAGAAGCCCAAAGATTATGTTGGTCTACGTCTATTCCCATCTGTCAAATGTAACCAGTGACTATCATGCTTTGGGAGGGGGAGAAGTTGTATTTTTGAACTGTTGACGACAGTTTTCACATGTGAACACCATTGCTACTTTTAGCCACTGGACTCACCTACAGTCAATTAAAATTATTTGGCATGAAAACATTGCTAAGACTAAGAGCTGCAAAATACAAAACCTACGTGTCCCTTAACATAAGGCAAGAGTGAAACTTTGAAACAGTGTACCTCCTTAATCAAAATAAACAATGCATTTGAATAAGAAACCAGTTTTAAACAGTTTATCATGAATTAGTCAAGTCATTTTCCAAAAAAAAGAAATTAAGCAAATGAAATAAAGTGATTCATTAAGCATCTGTTCCTTTGAGGCCTGGAGGGAAAGAGGTACTTAAGTGCGGACACTAGTTCATTTTAAAGTCTCATTGATTTATCACTATTTCAATACATCATCACTAGCAAATCAAGGCCAGAAAAAAAGTCTAAGTGCAGCTGGGACTTTGTACCCAATGGATCTGATTGCTGCATGGAATTCCTCTCCGGAGTGAACCCTGGGGTTGCAGCCACAGCCTTAGGGAAAGCCACTCACCGTTGGAAGTAATTTTCACAGCTCTCGGAAACCATGTCATGGAAGAGGCCCATTGTTTCTACGACTTGTCGTTTAGTGTCACTGGAGCAGACAATACCATAGCCTGAAAGGAAATAGGAGGCCACCGCAATCAAGGCCTCCTTCGGCCAGCGACTAAACCAGTCCATGGTGCAACCTGATATCAAGCCAGGAAACTTCAAAGAACGGGCTCGGAACTTCTCACCAACCTGTTGACAGCAAAGTCCAAAAGTGTCAGACACACACAAGGGTTATAATAAATCGGCTCAAAAGAGGCTTAGGCATTCTGAACCAATGGTGTGACATCACAGTTAAAAAAAAAAAAATCTTGGGCTGCATTAATGTATCAGTGAAATGTTCAGATGAAGGGGGTAGTATTTCCACACTCTTCCCTGCCCTAAGACTACATTTGTATCATTGGGTTGGATTCTAAAAGCTACCTTTAAGGGGAAAGGGACACACTAGAACTCTTCTAGAGAGAGAGGACCAGGACGGTGAAAAGCCTGGACACGAGGAAAAGTGAGAGTAGCAGAAGGGGTGGGAGGTGTTTGCTCTATGAAGGAAACAACTTTGGGAATCTGCAAAAACTTTCTCTAAATATCTGAGGAGCGGTATGGAGGGCGGGGAGGGATCGGACTCATTTTACAAGCCAAAACAGAATCACAGGGGAAAAATACAAAGAGACAAAATTCAATTCATTCCATAGGAGACATCTCTAGGAATTAGACTATCTAAAAATTAAGTAGGTTGGCTTGTAAGTTAGTGAGACCCGCAGAGCAGAGCTGCCCAATACAACCGTGAGTTCTATATCTGCGCCATCCAGTATGGTGGCCATGAGCCACTCATAGCTACTGAGCACTTGAAATGGAGCTAATGGGACTGAACAATTGAATTTTTATTTTTACTTCATTTTAATTAATCAAAATTTAAATAGGCATACATGTCTAATAGCTACTATACTGGATAATAGAGTGAGCTAGGGATATTCAGACCTACATCAGGGACATTCTAGACGGTATGTTGATATTGGAGGAAGAGCTAGACAAATTACATTACCAAATCCCTTACAATTCGAGTAATATATCTCTAGGCAATTAATGGAAGTTGTAGGCTATGCAATAATTTCTAATAAAATGGACATTTTAAATGGTTACACTTTGGTATGAGATTACCTGCCTCCAGGGGAGATTGGTGGTAGTAAAGTGTTAATTTCAATTCAGTGTGACAAATGTTAATTTCTGAGCAAATCGTCTCATCAAAGAAGGTAAACTATTAAGTACGTTTCAATAAGTAACTCCTCCCACATAAATATAAAGTAACAACTCACTGGAGAGAAGCAGAGAACAACATGCAAGTTCTTCCTTGATCTTGAAATGAAGTACTCATACAGATTATCAAAGGTAGGAGGGTGGCGAGGCAGCTCCTTTTTCATCACCGATATCAGACCTTGAGTGATTTCATCCATCTCATCTCGTGCAAACAGATTGGAGATCTTTGAGAAACAGACAAGACTTGTACTTTACAAGTTCCCCACACTAATTCACTGCCAAAGCCTCCTCCTTTTTCCCCCGACATGTCATCTTTTTTTCATATTTTCTTTCTGCATCTCCACAGTCAAAATCCCTTGTTTGCCAGAGATTACCAAGAATACAACTTTTTATTGAGCAGTTTAATCAGGAGGAAATTTTGTTTCCCTCTGCTCCAATAGCTATCACCAAAAAAGTACCTCTCTAGCATTCCAATAATCTCTTTAGAATGTCCAGTGATGCCCTGTGTTCTCTGATTCATAGACAGTCTCAATTCTGGGTCTGAGGTCATTTTTTGCTATGTTTGGGTACTTTTTTCAGGTATAATTGATATACAATATTATATTGGTTTCCAGTGATTCAACATTTGTATATACTGGGCAATGATTACCATACTAAGTCTAGTTACCATCTGTCACACTATAAAGTTACACAATATTATTGACTACAGTCCCCCTGCTATATATTACATCTCCATGACTTCTTTATTTTATAACTGGAAGTTTGTACTTCTTGATCCCCTTTGCTCATCTCACCCACTCCCACTCCAGCAAGTCCCCCTCCATCTGTCAACCACCAATCTGTTCTCTGTATCTAGGAGTCTGGATTTTGTTTTGCATTTTAGATATCTCATATAAACAAAAGCGTGAAGTATTTGCCTTTCTCTGACTTATTTCACTTAGCTTACTACTCTCAAGGTCTACCCATGTGCTCAAGAATGGCAAGATTATATTTTTTTATTGGGGCTAAGTAGTATTCCATTGTGTGTGTGTGTGTGTGTGTGTACATACATGTCATATCTTCTTTATCCATTTATCCACTGATAGATGTCTGGGTTGTTTCCATATCTTGGCTATTGTAAATATTGCTACAATGAGCAAAGGGTGCATATATCCATTTGAATTAGTGTTTTAATTTTCTTCAGATAGATACCCAGTAGTGGAATTGCTGGATCACATGGTGGTTCTATTTTTAATTTTTTGAGGATCCTCCATACTCTTTTTCAAGTGACTGCATCAGTTTGCATTCCCACCAACAGTGCATGAGGGTTCCATTTTCTCCACATCCTTACCAAAACTTGTTATTTCTTATCTTTTTGATAACAGCCATTCTGACAGGTGTAAGGTGCTATCTTGTAGTGGTTTTGATTTGCATTTCTCTGACAATTAATGATGTTGAGCACTTTTTCATGTGCTTGTTCTGTATATCTGTTTGGAAAAATGTATATTCAGATCCTCTGCCTGGAGGATTATTTCAGGGTTTTTTTTTTTTTGGTATTGAGTTGTAAGAGTTCTTTATATATTTTGAATATTAACCTCTTATTAGATATTCAACTTGCAAATACCTTCTCCTTTTTAGTAGGTTGCCTTTTAATTTTGTTGATGGTTTCCTTCACTGTGCAGAAGCATTTTATTTTGATATAGTCCCATTTGTTTCTTTTTCCATTAGTTTCCCTTGCTTTTGGAGTCAAATCCATAAAAACATTGCTAAGACCAATGTCAGGGAGCTTACCACTTATGTTTTCTTCTAGAAGTTTCATGGTTTCAGGTCTTACCTTCAAGTCTTTAATACATTTTGAGTTAATTTTTGTGCATGGTGTGAAGTGGTGGTACAGTTTCCCCCTTCTGCATGTGGCTGTCTAGTTTTCCCAACACCATTTATTGAAGAGATTGTCCTTTCCCCATTGTATATTCATGGCTCCTTTGTCATAAATTAATTGACCGTATATGCGTGGGCTTGTTTCTGAGCTCTCTATTCTGTTTTTTTGATCTGTGTCTATTTTTATGCCAATACCACATTGTTTTGATTACTATAGCACTGCAGTATAGTTTAAAAATCAGAGCTCATGATATTTCCATCTTTGTTCTTTTTTCTCAAGATTGCTTGGCTATCCAGGGTCTTTCATGGTTCCATATAAATTTTAGAATTCTTTGTTCTGTATCTGTGAAAAATGCCATTGGAATTTTGATAGCTATTGCATTGAATTTGTAGATGGCTTTGGGTAGTATGGACATTTTAACAATATTAATTCTTCTAATCCAAGAGCACAAAATATCTTTCCATGTATTTGTGTCTTCATTTCTTTCAACAATGTTTTATAGTTTTCAGTGTACAGGTCTTTCACCTCCTTGATTAAATTTATTCATAGGTATTTTATTCTTTTTTGGATGCAATTGTAAATGGCATTGTTTTCTTAATATCTCTTTCAGATAGCTCATTATTAGTGTATAAAAATGCAACCAATTTCTGTATATTATCCTTGTATTCCTGAAACTTTATTGAATTTGTGTATTAGTTCTAACAGTGTTTTGGTGGAATCTTCAGGATTTTCTATATATAACAGCATGTCATGTGTAAATACTGACAGTCTTCCTTTCCAATTAGGATGACTTTTATTCTTCAACTTCCCTAAGAAAAAACTTCCTGTTAAGTGTGATATTAGCTGTGGGTTTGTCATATATGGTCTTTATTATTTTGAGGTACATTCCCTCTGTCCATTCCACATTGTTGAGAGTTTTTAATCATAAATGGATGTTGAATTTTGTCAAGTGCTTTTTTATGCATCTGTTGTGATGATATGATTTTCATCTTTCATTTTGTTAATGTGATGTATTATGTTGATTGTGGATGTTGAACTATCCTCACAACTCTTGAGTAAATCCCACTTGATCATGGCGTATGATCCTTTTTACTGTATTGGTGAATTCAGTTTGCTATTTTATTGAGGATTTTTGCATCTGTGTTCATCAGGGATATTGGCCTGTAATTCTCTTTTCTTGTGGTATCTTTGTCTTGTTTTGGTATCAGGGTAAGTCTGTCCTTGTAGAATGAGTTTGGGAGTGTTCCCTCCTCTTCAATTTTTTAGAAGAGTTTGAGAAAAATAGGTACTAACTCTTCTTTCAGTGTTTGGTAGAATTTTCCTGGGCCTAGAATTTTGGGCCTAGAACTTTGTTGGCAGGTTTTTGATTACTGATTCAACATCTTATTAGTAATTAGTCTATTCGGATTTCCTATTTCTTCATGATTTGGTCTGGGAAGATTATAAGTTTCTAGAAATGTATCCATTTCTTCTAGGTTACCCAATTTGTTGACACATAATTGTTTGTAGCAGTCTCTTATGATCCCTTGTATTTCTTTGATATCAATTGTAACTTCACCTCTTTCATTTCTGATTTTGAGTCCTTCCTCTTTATTTCCTGTTTAGTCTAGCTAAGGGTTTGTCCATTTGTTCTACCATTTCAAAGAACCAGCTCTTAGTTTCATTGATTTTTTTCTATTGTCTTTTTAGTCTCTATTTATTTCCACTCTGATCTTTATTATTCCCTTATTTCTACTAACTTTGGGCTTTTTGTTTCATTTTCTAGTTCCTGCAGGTGTAAAGTTAAATTCTCTATTTGAGATTTCTCTTGCTTCTTGAGGTAGGCCTATATTGCTATGAACTAACTTCCTTCTAAAAATCACTTTTGCTGCACTGCATGTTTTGGTATGTCATATATGTTTTCATTTATTCTAGGTATTTTTTTTATTTCTCCTTTGATTTCTTCTATGATCCAGTAATTATTCAGTAACATGTTGTTTAATCTCCACTTATTTGTAGTCTTTGCAGTTTTCTTCTTATAATTGATTCTTAGTGTCATACAATTGTGGTCTAAAAAGATGCTTAATATGACTTCAATCTTCTGGAATTCATTAAGACTTGTTTTGTGGTCGGGGCACCTGGGTGGCTCAGTCGTTAAGCGTCTGCCTTCTGCTCAGGTCATGTTCTGGGATCGAGTCCCGCATCGGGCTCCCCACTCTGTGGGGGGCCTGCTTCTCCCTCTCCCACTCCCCCTGCTTGTGTTCCCTTTCTTGCTGTGTCTCTCTCTGTCAAAAAAAAAAAAAAAAAGACTTGTTTTGTGGCCTAACATATGATCTACCCTTGAGAATGTTCCATGTGCACTTGAGAAGAGTGTGTGTTCTGCTGTTTTGGGATGGAATGTTCTATATGTATATCTATTAAATCCACATAGTCTAGCATAACGTTTAAGGCTATTTCCTTAATGATCTTCTATCTTGATGATCTATCCATTGATGTAAGTGGGGTGTTAAAGTCCCCTACTATTATTTCATTGCTGTTAACTTCTCCTTCTAGATCTGTTAATATTTGTTTTATATATTTTGGTGCTCCTATGTTTGGTTCATATACATTTGTAGATGTTGTATCTCCTTTCTGGACTGACTCTTTATCATTATATAGTGCCTTCTTTGTCTTTTGTTACTGTCTTTGTTTTAAAGTGTATTCTGTCTGATCTGAATACAGCTATCCCAGCTTCCTTTTCATTTCCATTTGCATGGGATATCTTTTTCCATCCCTTCACTGTCAGTCTGTGTTTTTACTTCTCAAGTGGGTCTCTGTAGGCAGCACATCGATAGGTCTTTTTTTTTTTTAAATCCATTCAGCCACTCTTTATCTTTGATTAGATCATTTAGTCCACTTAGATTTAAAGTTTTTGATGGGTATGTACTTAGTGCCATTTTGTTAATTGTTTTTTGGCTGCTTTCATAGTTCCCTTCTGTTCCTTTCTTCTTCTCTTTCTCTCATCCCTTCTGGTTTGATTACTTTCTTCAGTGTTATGTTTTGATTCCTTGCTCATTTTCTTTTGAGTGTTTACTATAAGTTTTTGCTTTGTTGTTACTGTGAGGTTCACTTTATCATTTTATATATTTAACTATTTTAATTTGATAGAAACTTAAATTTCCACACACTCCAAAATTCTACAGTTTTACTACCTTCCCCCACGTTTTATGTTTTTGATGTCACATTTTACATCTTTTTATATCCCTTAACTGATTATTATTTTAGTTAATTTTATCACCTTTACCTTTACTACCTTCATAGTAGTTTTAGTAGTTTGGTAAGTGATTAATCCATTCCCTTTACTATATATTTTTATTTTTCTGTGCTTTCTTGCTATTAATTAGTGCCATTTCTTTTCAGCATAAAGAAGTTCCTTTAACATTTCTTGTAAAGCTGGTTTAGTAGAGATGAACTTCCTTAGCTTTTACTAACCTGAGAAACTCTCTCTCTTTCAGTTCTGAACAGTAACTTTGCTGGATAGAGTATTCTTGATTGGAAGTATTTTTTCCTTTTAGCACTTTGAATATATTGTGCCACTCACTTCTGGCCTGCAAGGTTTCTGCTGGGAAATCAGCTGATAACTTTATGGAATTTTCCTTTATCTGTAACAATTTTTTTCTCTTGTTGCTCTTAAGATTCTCTCTTTATCTTTAACCTTTGACATTTTAATTATAATGTGTCCTGACGTGAATATCTTTGGATATTCTTTGACATTCATTTTGGAACATCTTTGACGTTCATTTTATTTGGAACTCGGGGCTTCCTGGCCCTGGATGTCTGTTTCCTTCCCCAGGTTAGGCAAATTTTCAGCCATTATTTCTTCAAATAAGTTTTCTCTCCCTTTTTCTCTCTCTTCTCCTTTGGGGCCCCCACAATGCAAATTTTATTCCACTTGATGTTGTCCCATATGTCCCTTAAGTTACCTTAATTTTTTTTTTCTTTTTGCTGCTCTGTCTGATTTTCATTACTTCGTCTTCCAGCTTGCTGATCTGTTTCACTTCTTCCAGTCAGCTGTTGAACACTTCCTGTGTATTTTTTCAGTTCAGTTATTGTAATTCTTCAGCTCTGTGACCTATATTTGGTACTTTCTTATGTTGTCAGTATCTTTATTAAAGTTTTCACTGTGTTCATCCATTCCCTTCATGAGTTCAGTAAGCATCTTTAGGACCATTACTTTGAATTCCTTATCAGGTAGATCACTTATCTCCATATCATCAAGGTCTTTTTCTGAGGTTTTTGTCTTTCATTTGGAACATATTTCTCTGTTTCTTCATTTTGCTTGACTCTATGTTTGTTTCTATGAGGCAAAACTGCTACCTCTCCTAGTCTCGAAGAAGTGGCCTTATGTAGGTGATGGACCTTATTCAACTTTGCCCTAGCTCTTGGTTGTGTCACAAAACTTTCTGATTATCCAAACCACCTGATTTATTATTGATATGCCCCTGTTGCTGAGGGTACACCAAGACCAGTCAGTGTTCCAAGGGGGAGGAATCTCATTTGATACCTAGTTTTAGGTTGATTGGAATCTAGAACCTCAGGCAACAGTTTTTTAAAAGTATGCAAATACATACAGTCCTGTATGGCCACAATCATAATCCCTGCTGTCCTCCAGACTACGAAGTCTCTCCAGATCACAAAAGTTGGGGCTCCAGACAAATATATAAACTCCTTTCCAGGAGGTCTTGTTGAGCTCTAGCAAGGCCAAGGGGTTGTGGAAGGATGGTGTCTTCCTGCTTACATTCCCTTTGAGTGTCTCCTCAACCTCTAGATGTGTGGGAAACCTAAAGCCTGTCCCTCTGGCAGAAGCTCCAACATAAGTAAATAGGCCTTTTGCACAGGAAGACTGGGGTATGTTTCAGTCTGCTGTCTGTGCAGTGTCCTGGGTGTAGTGGCCTGCCAAGAAATGTCTTTCCAACTGTTACTTCCCGTGGAGCTCAGGAATGCCAGTCCTCTTGGCCACCAGCATGAGGCAATCAAGGGGCATCCCCATGTAGATTGCCCATGACTGCTGGCTTTAACTAGGCAGCTGGAGAGTGTATAAGAGGGGCATACTTGCCAACTTCAGAAAAGCAGCAGGAAAATGTTTTAACTGCATGCTCCCATGGGCTTCAGGACTGCAGCAACTGAGTGCCTTATTTGAGTATGCACCAGCTTTAGACTGGAGTAGAAGAATGTTTCCACCTTTTGCACTTGCCAGCCCCAGCCAAGGAAAGGGAGTGTCACAACCACCCATGCTTGCTGACCTTACCTAGGGAGCAGGTGAACGCCACATTCATGCTCACCTGCCCCAGCCAGGGAGCAGGGGAGTGCCACAACCACCCATGCTCTCCAACTTCAACAAGTTAGTGGGATAGTACTGACTACTCATTTGCCCCTGCCTGTCTTAGTAAGGTGGAAGGAGGGTGCTTTGTCTAAGCTTGCTCACCTGTGCAAGCAGGGTAGGTAGAAAGTGCAAAACTGGCATCCACCAGCAACTCCATCTCTGGGGAGAGTTTCAACTGTCCCCTAACCCCTCCAGTTGATACTTTAAGATTAGCAAATGAATCTTCTTCACATACAATCTAGGCATTTTTCAAAGTGCTGGGGTTTTTTGTTTGTTTGTTTGTTTGTTTGCTTGGCTGGGTCTTGGGATAAGACTATATTGGGAGCCCTTTAGTAGTGAATCTCACTTTCTTATAGCACTTTGGGTCACTAGATGTCAGCCCCATTGGTTTTCTTTCTTTTTTTTTTTTTTTTTTTTTTGCCCCATTGGTATTCTAAGCCAGACATTTTGGGGCTTGTCTCTCTGGTATATATTCCAGGGGTTGGGGTGCCTGATGTGAGGCACCAACCCCTCACTCCTTATTTGTGAGAGACCTCCCTATTGCAAGTCACTGTGCTGAGGGTGAGGTTTTTGGCAAGACTGTGTCTCTCCTACCTATCTTGATGTGGTCTTTTTATCCTTTGTTGTGGAGAAGAAGCTTATCTAGTTTTCGGATCTTTTTCAGAGGGAAATAATCCATATATAGATGTAGATTTGGTGCTGCCATGGGAGGAGGTGAATTCAGGATTTTCCTATGCCACCATCGTGCAGAAGTCCTCTCTCCGAGGTAGTCAACTAGCTCATGCAGCAGCAAGCATTGATAGACACCACTGAGCAGGGAAGAGTTAACACAGTGAGCCCGATTTTAAGAAGAGTATGCTTGCAGGGCTAGCACTTGGCCATCATCTGGGAACTTGGTTTTTGAATGTCTCCTCCTTACTAATTGAAAAGGTTGTTCTGGGCCTGGACTGTTTATACAAACATTGTGATATATGGTGAACATCTGTTTTCCTTCTGGGAGTCTGGAGTTTTGACAGTAGTGTCTAGGCAGGGAGGGACAACCAGACCAGCCCCCAGTAAAACTGCTGAATTCGGAATCTCCAACAGGGTTCCCTGAATGGAAACACAGCATATGAGTGACTGCACTTCACCACTGGAGGGGATGCACATTCTGTATGACCCTTTCGGTGAGAACATAGGAAGCCTGCACATGGATTTCTCCAGATTCCACCTGATGTGTCTTTTTCTATATTGATCTGGCTGTGAATCCTTGCTGCATTGCTGTCATAAATCTTAGACATGAGTACAACTGGATGTTGAGCCCCATGAGTCCTTCTAATGAAGTACCAAGTATGTGAGTGATCATGGGAGTGTTGACATAGGTGGTGTCAGAAGTGATGACCAAACATCTGCTTAGAGCTGGCAGAACTCTTTCCTTTCTTTTATACTCCTGACTGTTAGATAGATACTGTGATTATTCTAAAATAAATTACAGGATCAAATTGAAAACTGATGAAATAAGTAAGCAATCATATTTAAAATGGAACAAAGCATACAAAAAATCTGGAGGTGGACAGCATTCATTTCTCACAGGTAGTTTTAAAGAAAAATCTACCATGTCTTACATATTAATCATTTCTAAAATGAAAAATGAATGTTAAGTGGCCTCACTTGTGAAGGATTGCTGCTTTTTCTGTTCAAACATAATTTACATTTTTAAAATATGAACTTTTTCTCTACTTTTGAGACCTACCTCCCCTGAAGATAACAGGTTGTTAAGATATTCTAGAAATGCCTCATCCTTTATTTCATTGTCAGTAAAGATGAAGGTGATACCTTTTCCATCAGCACCAGCAACTTTGTACAGACCTTTTAAGTCATCTGTTAGATTATTCACATTATAAGACCTAAAAAGGGTGGTAGGAAATTTAAAATTTAAAAATATATGTAGTCATAATTTGTCTCAGAAGACAATATAACCCATGGTAATAAGAGCATACTCTGCACCTGCCCCAAGAGATACTAAGTAAGAGTGCCTGCTAAAAACACAGAGGTCAGAGAGAAATAGTTATGTGTTACTGTTCAAAGCAAGTATGTTTTATTTAACGTGAGAAGTGAGAAATGGGAATTCACCAGAAGTGACTCATGAAGAGTAATTAGAAATTCAGAAATGAACTTCTATTCTCAGCAAGCTAACAGTCTTCCACAACAGATTTTGCCCAAGTGAATATACATATAATATTTAAAACTAATCTGAAACTTGGATGAGTTTGGATTGGTAAGAAAGTCAAGATAAATTATAAATAAAATTAGCAATAAATTATATATAGTGGTAATTTGTGTATCTCGTTAAGTGGCTAAATACAGAGACAGCCTACAGAAGAACATGCATTATGCAATGTGATATAAATAATTGAAATGTTATAATTATGTAGTTACAGCTTTTGACAAGAAGATCTTGGTCTTTGCTTTTCTGTTTACTGTGTTTCCTACTAAATATATATGCTCCTGGAGATGATGTGATGTGCAGAAATAAAGCAGACATTTTCTGAAGTGTTGTGTATAAATCCTCATGAGTAAATTGACAACACAGACATCCTCACTTGACGGAGGCTGTATGGTGCAAGTCATAGGGAGTTGTGTGTAAGCCACAGGCATTAGAATCAGAAGGACCTGTGTTCAAATCCCCATTCTGCAGCTTGGAAATGTTCCTTTACATTCCTCAACCTCTGTTTCCTCCTCTGCAAAATGAAGAAAATATCTGTTTGTAAAAGCTACAGTGGGCATTAGAGATGACTCGGTTTAAGGGCACTCGAATGAATAAATAGCTGATTTTAATCTAGGAGGACCAGTTATCTCCTTCTGAGTGGCACTACAGTAAAATGTCTTGTAGACTTGGGCAAAAGGAACTCCACTGAAAGGAAAATATACATGCCTTTCAAAATAATTGCCAAGGGGGTCATTCGTTAGAAGGAGAAACTGGTAAGATTTGCTGAGATGTAGTTTGGTTTCTGGAAACCACTCTGGATTTCCTCCTCTTCGCCTTGCCTCTACTTCTCACTCTCTTGCAAGCAAGTCCCCTTCCTCTATGTTGGGAGACCCCAGCATTCTTCCCTTAGCCATCTTTTCTTCTCGCTATGCTCCCTACTCATGCTCCTTGTTACCTGAAATTTGTTCTCTCCACTGAGACTTCTGTGCTGACATCTTCAGGAGCCAGCCACTCCTGAACTCCACACCCATGAGTCTAATGAACTACGGAAACCGTGTGTTCTGCAAACATCTCACTCTCTGCATGTACTGAATTCTCATTTTACCCCCCTTAAAACTGGTCATTTGTTTATTTGTTCAACACGTATTTTTATGGTGTTGGTTAAAAGAACCCACTTGATAGTAATGGTAGATAAGACAAAGGTTACGATGGTCCATCCTCAGTTTGCTTACAGACTAGTGAAGGAGACAGAGGAGTGAACAAGCATTTTTTACAGTTCAGTATAATAAATACCACTAGAGAAACTAGGTGTGTCATTCTAGACTTTCTTCTTTCCTCTTCTTCACCCCATATCTGATCAGTTGCTAAGTCCTAACAATATACTAGGGACTATAAAGTCCTACTTTAAATTGCCCCCTTTGATTCCTCTCTACTTCCCTTCACCTTCCCTGCTGTTTTAAAATGTTTCCAGGAAGCTTTTTAGTCAGGTATGGTAAGACACACAGACATGGAAAGGACTGTCATGAAGGAAGAAGCCTATACTCACAGATCCCTAGAAACAAGAGGGGTTATGCCACACCACATAGGGCTGCATGGGGAAGCTTCAGGGTCAGTCAGGAGGTGGAAGGAGTAACAGCAACCGTGGGCAACAGCATGTACTGTGGTTTCCATGAGAAAGGCAAAGGCAGGCAGGCCAAGCAGATTTAGGATTGGCTTGTTTGAATAATTTCAACAGGCCCCAGGGCATAGATGCTGTCCCTAGTTACTGGTCCTTGGCTCTGGGGTGATTAGAGCAGAGCAATATTGTTTCCTGGTGGAGAAAGCCAAATAGACGTGGTGGTTCAGAGTATAAGCTCTGGAGTAGTTGGTTTACCTATGAAAGGCACACTACTGGAGCAAGCCATTAGCTGTCTCTAAGAACTGGCTTGCCCTGGGAAGGGGCAGTCAGCAGGACCCCAGTGCCAGAGCATCAAGAATACAGAAAACAAGAAAATACTGTTAACACTCTGGTAAACTGGAGGACTGTATGTCCCATCTAAGGAGGCATGTTGCTTAGGTCCAGGCACCTGGGAATGTAGGCACAGTGTTGCCAGATCTTCCAACTGTGTGAAGAGAAGTCAGAAATCTAGTTTTTTGGGGGGTTTTTTTTGTGAAACCTCCCAATTTTTAAAGGTTGACAACGGATTAATTTAATTAACCTCTAGATATTTGATGCTTCATGTTTTTTTAATTGCTCTTGTAATTTGTACCCTGTTAAATTTTTTATCTATGTAGTGTGTATAAATTGTTAATTTAAAAAGTGACGTAAAATTTATGAGGAACTACAAAAGGCCAAATATTCAAGACAGTCCTGAAGAAGAACAACAAAGTTGTTCAAGATATATTAAAACTACAGTAATTAAGACAGTTGGTAATACTACAAAGATAATTAAATCAGTGGAACAGACTGTAGTCACAGACATCATCAGTTGATTGATGGGGAAGAAATGACACTGTAATGTGTCAGGAAAAACATGACCTTTTCAATAATGGAGTTGGAGTGATTGGATATCTATATTGAAAAATACAATCTTAACTCCTACCTCAGATTTTAGAAGAAAATAAATTCTAGATGGGTTATAATTCTATACGTAAAAAAAGTACATTTTATTTGCAAATTCAAAGGAAATCACAGGAGAATATCTTCATAGGTAAACAAAGGTAAACAAATATTTTTTAACAGAATACAAAGAGCACTAAAATAAAAAAAATTGATAACTTAAGTTGGCTAATTGAACATAATAAAAAAATGTAGCCTAGACATAAAAATAATAATAAACTAAAATAAAAGATCCACCAAGGGGCACATGGGTGGCTCAGTTGGTTAAGCATCTGCCTGTGACTCAGGTCATTATCTCAGGGTCCTGGGATCAAGTTCTGAGTGGAGGCTCCCTGCTCAGTGGGGAGTCTGCTTCTCCCTCTCCCTCTGCCCCTCCCCACTACTCATGCGCACATGCTTACACATCCCCCCCCCCAGTAAATAAATAAATAAATAAAATCTTAAAAAAAAAAAAGTAAAATCCACCAGGAGTGAAAAGGCAAGCCAACGACTTGGAGAAGATTTATGTAATACACACTCTGACAACAAAATTATATCCAAAACATATATATAAAGAACTCCTAAAAATCAGTAAGAGAAAGAATCACACCCTAACTGAAAAAAAAAAGAAGCAACAAAGGAATAACACATATTTCACAAAAGAGACTGTCCAAATGGCCAATAAGAGGTGAAAATGTGCTCAACATTCGTCATGGAAAATGCAAATGGAAGCCACAGAGACATACCACTACCCATCCACCAGAATTGCTAAAGTGAGAAAGACTCACAGTGCCAAAGGTGCACCAGGATGAGGAGCAACTGAGACCCTCATGAAACGCTGGTGGAAGTGTAGGTAGAACCACAATGGAAAACAATTCTCCAAATAGACTAAAGCTGAATATAGGTACACTCCATACCCAGCAGTTCTATCTCCGAAAGTACACTCCATCATGCGCAAGAATATTCATTACAGCTCTACTTGCCAAAAAATCCCCACAAATATTTATCAACAGCACAACGGGAAACAAATTGTGGTAATTTGTGAGAAAGTGGAGGTCTATATAGCAATAAGAATGAACAAACTATGGGTACGTGCAGCATGATGGATGAAACTCCCGAACATAATACAAGCAACAGAAACTGGACACAAAAGAGTAGATCCCATAGCATTTGATGGATAGAAAGTTCAAGAATAGGTAAAACTAAGTGGGTTTAGAAGTCAGAATATGGTGAACCTTGGGAGGGTAATGACTGAGACAGGACTTGAGGTGTGATTCCAGGGTGCTGATATTTTATTTCTTCATCTGTAGGCTAATGACCGAGGTGTACTTACTTTGTGACACCCATGATTTGTGCACATCTCCTTAAATAATTTACACTTAAATAAAAAGCTTAAAAAATATACAAATTGTTGTATTTTTTAAGTGAACATTTTACTTCAGAGAAATTAATAATAGAAAAATGTATTGCTGTGTTTTATTTCACCTTACCTGGTTAATGTAATCTGGAATATTTGATATCCAGCTATAAAAGAGGCCAATCTCGAAAGACTTTGTTTTCCTGAACCACCGACACCCACCAGCAACGCATTTCCACATGATGTTCGAATTATTCGTGAAATCTGTTTGGATATAAAATGGTATGTATTTAAAAATAGAATTCAACTATTCACATTTTCTCGCACTACATGCGTCCAATTTTGAACATATGCTTATAGACTACATTAGACTTTTTCTTTTAATGGGATATGTCAGAGTTTTTTTAAATTAATGTCTCCTATTGATTTAGTCAACTCAAATTCTTTTCCTTGCCCATCATCAAATGGGCTTTCCTATCTCCTATTTCAAAGCCATTCTCGTGTGTGTGTGTGTGTGTGTGTGTGTGTGTGTGTAATTTTATTGTTTTCGGACTCAATGCATGATGGAGCTGCTCTTCCCAATCTGCAGAAAGTTTAGGATTGTCTGCTTATTATTCAGTCTAACATACTGAACTAGATAGACACCTAGCTCTACAATGAATACTACCTGTATTGTATCTCTGCCAACGAAAAAATTTTAAGTACCAAAATTCTACTTACAAAGAAGGCAAGAAGGCATCTGTAGAAAAAGACTTAGACTTTAGTCTTGTGTTGCTTTTCTATGGCTGATTTAGTCTTGTGTTGCTTTTCTATGGCTGATTTCCTCAATAAGGATAGGCTGGAATTGTGGTTCACCTCATATGCAGGCCAATTGAAGACATTGCTAAAAAACTGCCTTTTACATTAATGTCACTGATTAAGATGAAAGTCTAGATGGGTCACTAAATTCATTATCACCACTAAAAAGTTTTTTTTTAAATGGAAGTTTTACAGGTGGCAGATAGTAAAAACACTTTGCATTAATTCTATCATTATATTTTGTAACATGTTAATCACTTGGGGGTCCCAGGCCCCCAAGACCTCACCACAGTGAGTACTCAATAATTACTTGTTGAGTAGATGAATGTGAAACAGCCCTAGGACATCTGGAAATTCACCAACTTTGGGGAAGACCAACGTATAATAAACACAGAGCAAGCTGCCTCTTTATCAAACCTCCTGACACTGTGTTCGAACTTCCTTTTCAATCTATACATGACACAAACAAATGGCTCTTTTCTGTAGCCTTTCAGACTTGGATCAAACCATGCTCCTCTGGGTGTTGTCTCTAACTGGTTTCTGTTTTTATACCAGTCCTGTGCATCTACCTTACTCCTTCCTCATCAGTTTGCCCATAATCTGTAAGCCAATCATGAAATTGACCTTTTTAAAAAGCATCAAGTTTTCCTCCATGGGGAAGGGAACAGGATTCCCATTATATCAAAATAAAATTTGAAGAGGGACTATTTCTTCACAGGGTTCTCTAGCTTACTTTCTAGAAAGGAGAAACTCTGATTCGATGTGTCAACAGCTCTGAATACAAAACCCATCAATTCGCCCTTGGAAAGCATTTGCTGTCCCATACATGGATTCAGCTAAGGAGTTTCTTTTTTTTAATTTGATTTTATTATGTTATGTTAGTCACCATATATCATTAGATTTTGTTGTAGTGTTCCATGATTCATAGTTTGCGTATAACACCCAGTGCTCCATGCAATACATGCCTTCCTTAATACCCAACACCAGGCTAACCCATCCCTTCACTCCCCTCCCCTCTAGAACCCTCAGTTTGTTTCTCAGAGTCCACAGTCTCTCATAGTTCATCTCCCCTTCTGATTTCCACTTCATTTTTCCCTTCCTACTAACAACTTCTTTTTTTTTAACATGTGATATATTATTTGTTTCAGAGGTACAGGTCTGTGATTCATCAGTCTTACACAATTCACAGCACTCACCATAGCACATACCCTCCCCAATGTCTATCACCCAGCCACTCCAACCCTCCCACCCCCCCACCACTCCAGCAACCCTCAGTTTGTTTCCTGAGATTAAGAATTCCTCCTATCAGTGAGATCATATGATACTTGTCTTTCACTGATTAACTTATTTTGATTTGGCTAAGGGGTTTCTGATTAAGCCTTTGTTTTCTGAGACCATGAACTGATCCAACCTATGGACATGCTTCTATATGCTTCTATACACTATCTGAAACTATAGATTTCCTCTCTAAAAACATCTGTCTGTGAAATTTACCCAGTTTTTACATGATCTATTTATGTCAGCAAAGAGTCAATAGTTAGAACCTTAATAAGATGTGTCATTGCATCTTTAAAAAACACTAGATCAAGAGATGTTCCTCTAATGATTTCATTGAACTGTCTCTGGTAGAACTGGAGTTTTTCAGACAGGAAGTCAAAGGATGGGACCTGTGGGTGCAGAGAGAGAAAAAAATAATAATTTAAGAGCCAAAATCTATGAAAGCAGCAATTGTAAAGGCTTTCAAAAGTAATTCTAATTAAAAAAAAAAATCTAATGGAGGGGCACTTGGGTGGCTCAGGTGGTTAAGTGCCAAACTCTTGGTTTCAGCTCAGGATGGTGAGATCAAGCCCTGCATCAGGCTCCACACTCAGCACGGAGTCCGCTTAAGATTCTTTCCCCTCCTTGTCCCTCCTCTTCTGCTCCTCCCCCCCTCGCACTCTCTCTCTCTCTCTCAAATAAATAAATAAATAAACTCTTTTTAAAAAATAGAAATAAAAACCTAATGGAGATACATTCGTTAGATTACTCCTTTCTGCCCGTGGACGCCGCCAAGTAAGCATCGTTCAAGTCTCCCCTCCCACCACCGTCGTGTCTAAGTCAGAGTCTCCCAAAGAGCCTGAAGAGCTGTGGAAGCTCTTCACCAGGGGTTTGAGCTTTGAAACAACCGATGAGAGTCTGAGGAGCCATTTTGAGGAATGGGGAACGCTTACGGACTGTGTGGTAATGAGAGATCCAAACACCAAGCGCTCCAGAGGCTTTGGGTTTGTCACGTATGCCACTGTGGAGGAGGTGGATGCAGCCATGAACACAAGGCCACAAAAGGTGGATGGAAGAGTTGTGGAACCAAAGAGGGCTGTCTCAAGAGAAGATTCTCAAAGACCTGGTGCTCATAACTGTGAAAGAGATTTTTGTTGGTGGCATTAAAGAAGACACTGAAGAACATCATCTAAGAGATTATTTTGAACAGTATGGGAAAATTGAAGTGATCGAGATCATGACTGGCTGAGGCAGTGGCAAAAAGAGAGGTTTTGCTTTTGTAACATTTGATGACCATGACTCTGTAGACAAGATTGTCATTCAAAAATACCACACTGTGAATGGCCACAACTGTGAGGTAAGGAAAGCCCTATCCAAGCAAGAGATGGCTAGTGCTTCATCCAGCCAAAGAGGTCGAAGTGGTTCTGGAAACTTTGGTGATGGTCGTGGAGGTGGTTTTGGTGGGAATGACAACTTTGGTCGTGGAGGGAACTTCAGTGGTCGAGGTGGCTTTGGTGGCAGTCGAGGTGGTGGTGGATATGGTGGCAGTGGGGATGGCTATAATGGATCTGGTAATGATCAACTTTGGAGGTGGAGGAAGCTATAATGATTTTGGCAATTACAACAATCAATCCTCAAATTTTGGACCCGTGAAAGGAGGAAATTTTGGAGGCAGAAGCTCTGGCCTCTATGGTGGTGGAGGCCAATACTTTGCCAAACCACGAAACCAAGGTGGCTGTGGCAGTTCCAGCAGCAGCAGTAGCTATGGCAGTGGCAGAAGGTTTTAATTACTGCCAGGAAACAAAGCTTAGCAGGAGAGGAGAGCCAGAGAAGTGACAGGGAAGCTACAGGTTACAGGTAACAGATTTGTGAACTCAGCCAAGCACAGCTTTGTAGCCTAGCTGCTACAAAGAAGACATGTTTTAGACAATACTCATGTGTATGGGCAGAAAACTCGAGGACTCTATTTGTGACTAACTGTATAACAGGTTATTTTAGTTTCTGTTCTGTGGAAAGTGTAAAGCATTCCAACAAAGGGTTTTAATGTAGATTTTTTTTTTTTTTGCACCCATGCTGTTGATTGCTAAATGTAATAGTCTGATCATGACGCTGAATAAATGTGTCTTTAAAAAAAAAAAAAAAAACCTAATGGACTTCCAAACATCTGTCATGGATTACTTGACTTTCAGTTATTTCCATTTTCAGAGGCCTGAAACTTAACTGCATTAGCTGGTTGCCAGTATGAAATCATTCCCTGACCTTTCCCTTCAAAAGCCCCAGAGCCAATTCCCACCCATGGGAACTATGATTGGAATATAACAAATATTTCTGTTTGTATTTGCTTTTTAATATTGCTTATGGATCTTAAAAAATACACAGTTTTACATCATTGATACAGTCAAATGGTTTTGAAGTAAATATTCATGTATTTTTTTTGCACAATTTTGTCTCCCCATTCAATTCTTCGACCTACATGCACTTAAGAATTACTTTGTTTGTGACCCTACTTAAAAAATCTTTTTGGGGGTGCCTTAGTGGAGCAGTCAGTTGGGCATTGACTCTTGCTTTTGGCTCACGTCATGATCTCAGGGTTGTGAGATTAAGCCCCACATAGCTCTGCACTCAGCACGGGGTCTGCTTGGGATTCTCTCCTGTTCTCCCTCTGCTCCTCCCCCAGGCTCTCTCTCTCTCTCTCTCTCTCTCTCAAATAAATAAATAAATCTTGAAAAAAAAATCCTTTTGGCAGGGCACCTGGGTAGTTCAGTCGGCTGGGCATCCGACTCTTGGTTTCGGCTCAGGTCATGATCTCAGGGTGGTGGGAGATGTTGGGCTCCATGCTGAGTATGGAGATTTCGGGTGGCTCAGTCGGTTAAGCATCTGCCTTTGGCTCAGGTCGTGATCCCAGGGTCCTTGGATGGAGCCCCACATCAGGCTTCCTGTTCGGTGGGGAGCCTGCTTCTCCCTCTCCCCCCTGCTCGTGCTCTCTCTTGCTATCTCTCTCTCTCTCTCTCAGATAAATAAATAAAATCTTAAAAAAAAAGAAAGATTCTCTCTCTCTCCCTCTCCCTCTACCCCCCCCCCCCACCCACGCAAGCATGCATGTGTGCACGCACGCGCTCTCTCTCTCTCTCTCTCAAAAAGAAAAAAAAATCCTTTTGGAGTCCTGTTTCAAACTTCATGAAACCTATACGTTAATTTAGGGAGAATGATGTGTTGCCATTTAATCAAGTAAAGTTTAATCATGTTTATCCCTAGATGTTTTACATACTTGTTGCTGTTGAATGAAGTACCTTCCTGTTATAGTTTCTATCTCATGATTGTTACCAAGAGTTGGCAAACTTTTTCTGTAAAGGGCAGGATTAAAACTTTGTGGCCCATAGGGTTTGTCACAACTATTCCACTGCACCCTCATAGTACAGAAGCGGTCCTGGACCATAAGGAAACAAATCCACGTAGCTGTGGTCCAATACAACTCTGTGTATGAACGCTGCATTTGAATGCCATGTAATTTTCACAGGTCACACAATATTCTTCTTCTTCGGATTCTTTTGCCACCCATTTAAAAAATGCAAATTTTAGCTTACAAATCTCACAAAACACAGCCAGAGGGCTGGATCTGGCCCATCAGCTGTAACTTGCCAGCCTTTCATACAGAGGACAGTTACAGAGTTTTGTATTTATCTCACACTTGGTCATCTTACTGAACTGTTAGTAGTTAAAACAGATGTTCAGTTCTTTTCTATTAAGAGATAATCATCTCATCTGCACACAATATGTTTGTTTTTTCCTATCTGATAATTACATCTTTTTTTGTTTGTTTTGGTCATTTGTTTCATTGCCTAGAACTTTCAAAACCATAGTAGCGATGATAGGAGGCATCCTTGTCTTATACCTGACTTTAATGGGATTACTGCTAAATTTCACTAAAATATTTTACTTGGTGTATGATGGCATGAATCACGACAAATAACTAATGTAGAAGTTACGACAACTCCGTGGTGGGACTCTGGGGTGCGGAGAAATATAGTTAGGTGAGTGATCGAAAAGCTCTTTTCAAAGGTGAAAATAAATACCAGTTCATAAGTTTTGGGCACTTCAAACACAGTATCCTCAGGCTCGTCACCGGTTGGTTCGGGTATCTCACGGAGAAAATCTGCAAAGTATGGTTCAGGAAGAATATATGAAGTCACATCTGGGTTAATATTCTCTTCAACTGCTCGAACAAGATGGATATTAAACCACTGCTCATCTTCAGGAGTTATAAATCTGAAAGAAAAATGCAGGAGTAAATATGTAAAATATGAAGGCATCTTTCTTAATTGAACATGTCCAACCTCCCTCCACTTCCTGAGGCCCCATCCTACACCGTGGACTTCTCGGAACAGGGGAACAGACAAGGACATAACTCCATTAAGGAGAGATATAACACTGAGTATTACTTAAAAAAAAACACTGGCAAAGAGTCTCTCCTTGATCAATCTTAGTCTCCTCTGAATCCTCTTCCCAATTAGGCCATGACTTTTGGACTTCTGTGTCCTTCTTTGCATTGCCCAATTGTACCAAGAATCCTGTCAAGTGGGTTTAATCCCAGAATCTCCCACTCCCCATATCTAATCACCCTTCAATATCTGACCAAATTCCTCATTCCCCATCACCCCCCAGGAAATATCTACTCACCCTAGCCTGCTTTCAGCAAGAATCCTATTAGGTCAGTTTAGCTAGAATCCCTCCCTTACACTTGATATTTCCTCTCAGTAGTTTTCCATCCACCGACGTCCCCTAAACTGCTCCATGGCTATAAATTCCCACTCTTCCCTTGTCGTATTTGGAGCTCAGCTCAGTTTCTCTCACCTCCTGCAAAACCCCATCGCGGTGGTCCATATACCCAGTGTGGTAATCCTGAATAAAGTCTGTATGCCTTATTGTTTTAACAAGTGTCATGAATAGTTTTTTTTTTCTTTAACAATACAGATGAGTCACTTAGGTGGGGTCAAAGGTCCCTAAAATTTGCAGTAGGAGTGCAGACTGATGACATTCAGTAGTGGACGAGCGTCCACTTTCTGGTTCTGTGAGCACACAGTACACAAATGTCCTTTTCAGACCTACAGTATCAGAGGGGGAAGAGCGGAAGGAGGGGGACCAACATTTGAGAAATACCATATATGTGTGTGATATTGTGGTAGGCCCTTACAGCTTTGTAAGATCAGCATCACCATCCATATTTTATACAGGAGGAAGCTGAGGCTCAGAACAATGACTGAGCCTATGTTCCCAGATTACACCAAGCAAAACTTACACGGAGCTCAAACGTCCTAGAAAATATACATAATAAAATTTGCCTCTGAATGTTATCAAGTCTCTGATGATGTGGTGATTTAAAAAGATGTGCTGTGGAAATAATACTCAAGCAGACTGGCAGAGCATTTTTTAAGAGGACCAGCAGGTGGGAAATGGCATCAATGTTTCACAAGCCCCAGAGCAAATGAAGACAATACTCTAATTATTTGAGTAGATAATGCAGGAATTAGTCTCACAGTATCAACTTCTTATACAGTACATTTAAACTCAAGTGCTGTAGTATACACCTGTCTGCAATTACTCTGTTGCACTCGTGTTTGAAAAGTGATAGGAGAACAGATATCGAATCACACTCCTCGGCTTTTATGGTTAACATTCCTTGCCAAATTCTGGAAAGATCTCGAAGATTGAAAATGTAATGAAATTTAGAAGGAGTTGGCAGCATCTTCACCTAGAGATGGACAAAAATGTATTACTTTTCAGATAAAACTAAAAGCAGAACTGCTTTTTAGAACTACTTTATTCCACAAATTTTATTTTAAATGAAGTAGGCTGAGTAAATAAACCAAGATTAAGTTTATATTTTTGTCACAGCACTGATGAGAAAAACACATCATAAATAAACCAACATAGAATTTCAAAGACCATAAGCTCTTGAATCAGATCCATTCCAGAATAACACTTCAGATGCCAATTCCAATGCCTGTTCTATCAGCGTTAGTTGGCTTTGAACAAGTCACTTTCCCCTGAATTCTTAAAAACTATGTGAGTTGTGGGAATGACCATTCCTAATCATTGTTAACCATATTAGTGTGTACGTGGAAATATGTCATAACAAAAAACTGGGTGTGAGCCGATTGCCATGCAGTTAAGAACAATGAAAGTTCACTTCTGAAGTCAATAATGACCATTTCCATAGATTGCTTTAAGGTCTTTAGTATATTTGGATTTCCACCAATATATTGTATATCATGTATGATATACAATATTGGATCTCACCATGGAGATCCAAACTCAGTCAGCATGCTTTCACATACCTGTTTATCTAGAATAAGTTGGCAGGCCAGTCTGACATGCAGGTATAATGACGAGGTGGCTTTCCTGGGTTTTGTTTGTTTATTTGAACACCAACTTATCAGTTCTACCAACTTCAGAATCCAAACAGCCAAAGCTATAACAATGACACATTCTTGTGTGGAGAGATACCAGTTAAGGGATAAACTTGAGGTGTACTAGGCGTGGGAAGCATTGCTGGCCATGTATAAAGATTACAACTGATACCATTAGCATCATTTTGAATGTGAAAACAATATTCTGGAGAATCAAACTCCCCACAAGATTAATTCGGGAAAGCAAATGCTTTTTTTAGGGCCTATTTATGGAATATGCCCTTTCTACATTGAAAAAGTACTCCATTGAGCTTATAGCATAATCATTACAGGCTAATTCATGGTATAAGTTAAAACAGCAGGTAGCCAGGGAAGACAGAGTAAAGACAAGTGTTATTTTACCAATTATCCTTAAATTTCCCTCTTTGCTCAGTTCCATTCCCAGCTAAAATGTTCATTCCACTCACCAAAATGTAAAATCATATTACAAATATGCAGAAATAAAGGGCTAAGGCTGTGTGAATATTGCTTATTTCTTTGTGGTAAACGACTGCCCCTGGGATGACAGCCATTGAGGCAATCATTAAAGAGAATTGAATAAATTCCTTTTTTCCCCTCTTCTCATGTGTTAACCTGCTTCTTTCCCTTTAATTTTTGTCAACTCTTTTCTTTCCTCACCTGGGCTTCTGCCTTTTTTTTTTTTTAAGATTTTATTTATTTATTTGACAGAGAGAGACACAGCGAGAGAGGGAACACAAGCAGGGGGAGTGGGAGAGGGAGAAGCAGGCTTCCCGCTGAGCAGGGAGCCCAATGATGCGGGGCTCGATCCCAGGACCCCGGGATCATGACCTGAGCCGAAGGCAGACGCTTAACGACTGAGCCAGCCAGGTGCCCTGGGCTTCTGCTTTAAAGCTGTGTAAAGTAGGGGTGCCTGGGTGCCTGAGTCAGTTGAGCAGCCAACTCCTGATTTCATCTCAGGTCATGGGACCCAGCCCCATGTTGGGCTCCACACTCATCAGGCAGTCTGCTTGAGATTCTCTCCCCTGCCTCTCCCCCCCACTCACTCTCTGTCTTTCTCTCAAATTAATAAATAAATCTTAAAAAAAAAATAAAGCTGTGTAAAGTGATATAAAGATGAAGTGGTATATGAGGGTTAAAAGTGCTTTGTGAGGATGGGAGGTTTGAAGAAAAGATACAAAAAGGGCTGCTTATTTGGGGGTGGGGAGGGGAGGAAGATTCATTCATTATTCAGTGGCTATTTTTGAACACTTCCTGCTGCCCTTAAGAAGATACCATTGTAACTAAGAAGACAGCATGGTAAGCAGCAGCTCAATCTGCTAAAATCAGAGAGCTTCTGTTCTAGTGGGGAGACTGACAATAGATAAATAAGAAACAAATATATTGGTAAACAAACAAATTGACAAATAATAATGATAAAAGTCATGGTCAGAAAAAATAAAGTAGGGTCAGAAGACAAATAATGACTGCGATAGAGCCATGGACAGTTACTTTAGAGACAATGATCTGAGAAAGCCCCTCTGAAGGTAAGAAGAATGAGAATGAGTCCAAACAAAGTACGGTGGCCCAGAGGCACAAGAAACATGGAGTGTTCGAGGAACAGCGAGAGGGCAGGGCCGCTGGAGCAGAAGGTGGAAGGGGCAAGCAGGGGCCAGCTCAGGGGGTGAGTTTCACAGGCCAGAGCAAGGCATTGGGTTTCACTCTAGGTGTACCTGGGAGCCTCCTGGTGGTTTTGAGAAGGAGTAATGATTTCTCATTTACTTTCTTCAAAAGCATTTTAGGACTGTGTAAAGAACAGACTCTAGGAAGGCAAAAAGAAAGCAAGTGGCTGCATGGTCCAGAGGGCAGGTGATAAAAGCATCTATCAGGGGGGTCACTCTGAGACGGCACAGAGTGCTCAAGCTTTGGGATATATTCTGAAAGCATGGTAACTGAGACTTGCTGATGGATTGGAAGTAGAGGGATGAGGGAGACAAATCAAGGACGGCACCAGTTTTTTAGTCTGAGGAGAAGGATCAGTGGTGTTGCTATTGGCTAAAAAGATGCAAAAGTCTGAGGGAAGGTCATATTAGAAGGACAATTAAGAGTTCTGTGCAGACACGTTAACTTTAAGATGGTTATTGGACATCTAAATGGCTATGTCTACTAAGCAGTAGGAAATCAGTATGGAGCCAAGCAGAGAGGCCTGGAATGGAAGCCTGGATTTTGAAGTCAGCAGCACGGAGATGGTGTTTAAGGCCTTGGAGCTGGAGAAACCATCTGGGTAAAGAATACAGACAACGGAGAGGTCCTAGAGTTGAGATTGGGTGCACTCCAGTCTCTAGAGGAAGGGAAGAAGAGGGGGGACTTTTAAAAAGGTAACTTGTCAGGTAGGAAGAAAACCAAGAGCATGAGGTCCCTCAGGAACCAAGTGAAAAACGTGTCGAGAGGGAGACTTTTATGTCAAATGCTGCTAAAGAGTCAAGTAAGAGGAAGACATCAACCTCTGGATTTGGCAAGACTGAGATCTTTGGTGACCCTGACGAGAGTAGTGGAATGAGAGCTTGTGGAAAACAGGTTAAAGAGGTAAAGAAAGATGCGAAATGGAACCAGTAAACATTCATATAACGAGAGAAGCTTTGATGGAAAGACACCCAGAAGGCCAAAGCTTTTCAGGAAAATATGTATATAATCACATGAGTGTGAACAATGGATGGATCTGACCACAGAAAATTATCTCAGACACTCAGCCCTGGCCATTCATTTTGAATTTTCTTTAAGAGAAGCAGAATGGCATGTGCAAAGACGCTGTGTTGGCAAGGGGCGGGCCCCATGCAAGGAACAGGCCATTGTGCGGACCAAGCATTTCATAAGGAACACCTAATTCCTCTTTATAATTCTCTTATGTAGAATTCCCCCAGGAATCTGAGAGGTTGACACCCTCCAAGTTTCCCCAGGACATAAGCTTCCTCCGAGATATGTGTAATTGGCCTAATGAATGTTTTTTGGCAAATGCCTCAGCCTTGTTTTAAGCCTAGGTCTGAAATGTCACAGACCTATGCTTAATTGCTTTTGCATGAGTCTGCTTTGAGCCATTGGTGACAGCTACAGGTTTGCTGAGCTTTACTTAGGGCACTGACCTGTATATTAAAATCTAGACTAGGAGCACCTGGGTAGCACAGTTGGTTAAGTGTCCAGCTCAGGCTGTGATCTCAGGGTTGTGAGACCAAGCCCAGTGTCAGGCTCCACGCTTAGCATGGAGTATGCTTGAGATTTTCTCTCCCTCTCCCCCCCACCCTCTCTAAGGTAAATAAATAAATCTTATTTAAATATATATATCTATTTTGTTAAGTACACTTCCATTCATTTACTAATTCCCATTCCATCTCAGAGACTCACACAAGTTTGACTTTAAGTCTCAGGTAGCTAAGAACATCCGGAAATTCATGTATTCAGTCAGCCAGTAAACATGTGAATGTCTAACATACAAATCAGAGTAACAAGTGGAAAAGCAGTACTCTCATTTTAGCAAAATTCTACTTTATCTTGGATGCTGTGTGTGGTTTATAGTAATATCTCATACATATGGAAAGCATCATCTAGTCGGAATATTTGCTTGCTGGAAGGAAAAGGTGTCATAAATCTATTTGAGCACCTAATTTGTCTTTTTCAAAAAAACCCCACTGCTCCATGATGTGATGATAAGTTCATGAGCCATGAGGTGAGAACGGACTGAGTAATAGTTGACTTTCTGTTATTACGGACAACGCTTCTGTACCTTCGTCCACTGCCACAGCACTCTGCCTGCTGAAACTAAATTTGCAATCATCTCACATACTTCAAGTTTGAACTTTCTGCAAGGATCAAAGTACCCACAGCCAATAAGTCCTGGAAAATAAAACAAGATTGAAGGTGCACACTTATGAAAAGATTACAAGGTGCATATTTATCCCGGTGAATAAATCATGATAAGACAGAGTAAGCTGGGTGACATTAAGAATTTTTCTCAAGGAATCAGCTAAGACTGGAAGTCAGGAGTGGGGCCATCAAAGCTTAGTGTGTAGTGATAAGTGTTTTATATGTATTAACTCACTTAATCTTCCCCACATCCTGTGGAAAAGGATCTCAGATAGATATTATCATTATTCCCATTCTGAGTTGAGTTACTTGCCCAAGGTCGCACAGCTTGTATGTGGGTGGATCTGAGATTTGAACCTGAGCAGCCTGGCTCTGGAGTCCATAAAATAGCACTCACCCTGAAGCACATAAGGGCTGGAAAAGAATTTAGAGACTACTTGCTCATATCACAGATATGGAGGTCGGACCAAGACTAGGAAGGGAAATTGTTCAAGGTCACACGGATTGGTTGTTGATAGAATTGGAATCAGGACCCACATCTTGTGACCCTGGTCTGGGCTGGTGATATAATGGTCCCTTGGAAACACCCAGCACAATGACAATCTGACACAGTCACCCTCAGGAAGGACTGGGCTGTAGATTTATAGACTGTTCTTAAATTCTCAGTGTTTTTGGTTTTAGACTGCAAAAACAGATTTACTCTACTTCACTCCAGTGAGACTGCATGTTGAATAATACCTTCAGTTCTGAGCATGGTATTTTCAGAGGAATGCAAACAGGAATATTTGCTCAGAGATGCAGAGCAGGTTTATGAAGGGTGGAGCAGCTAAAGAAACTGGGGTTCGTTCACGTGGACCAAAGAACAGTAGCCCTGAGGGAACATCAAATTGTCCTATGAAGTCAGGGTTGGTTGTGTTTGATGCTTGCAAGGCCCTTTTGCTTCCTGAAATCCCATATTCTAGATCCCTGACTTCCTGTGGGACAATGATTCTGTAAGAAGCATGGCGTCTGGCATCGGAAAATAGGATTAACACCACACCTCTGCCACACACTAACCGAATGGACTTGACTGGGCGTCATTTCACTTCTCTGAGCCTCAGTTTCTCATTTCTTTCTGTCTTTAGTTTTCAGTATTAATCATATTGAAGAGTGTATAAAATAGTTTAACAAATAAACACTCACATACAGTCTACTAGATTGAGAAACACAACCTTGCCCCAGTATACTAGAAACCCCCATTTGTCCATCCCTGTCCACAACCCCTTCCTTCCTCCAAGAGCAGCCACTACTCTGACCTGGTGAGAATCTGTGACTCACTTTTCTTTATAGCTTTGCCACTTATGGTTTTGACCTTTAACCTTTTCTTTAACTTCAACTTTTGAAATTTAATTTAATGGAATCATATCACATATTCCTTTGTGACTTGCTTCTTTTACTCAACATATTTCTAGGATTCATCCACGTGAGAACCTGTAGCTGTGTTTATTCATGTTCCCTGCTGCATAGCTTCATGCTATGTGCCAACACCACAATTTATTGACCCAATGTTACTGTCAATAAATATTTGGATTATTTCAAGTTTTTTTGCTATCTTGAACATTGTCCTATAAACATGCTTGTGTGTCTTCTGGCACGCATGTACAGAATCAAGTAAAGATGGATTAAGGGTTTAAATATGGAAGGCAAAACTGTAATGTTTGGAAGAAAATATAGGCGAGTATCTGCGTGACCTCTAGGTAGGAAAGGACTTCTTAAATGCATCTCAAAATATGCAAATCATAAAGGAGACAAATGATAAACTGGCATATGCCTGGGAGTGGAACTGCTGTGGGTGTCCACACGTTCTGCTTTACCAGCAGGTGTTAAGTGTCTCAGTTCCTGCCCATTCTCACCAATGCCTGATTTTGTCAGAATTTTTCATTTTTTGCAAATCCAGTGGGTATAAATGGTATTTCCTTGGTGTTTTAAATTTGCATTTTCCTGAATATTAGTATGTCTATCATCTTTACATTTGTTTATTGGTCATTTGCTTTCTTCTTCTTAAAGTGCTTGATTTTCTGTCCATTTTTATATTAGGATGTTTGCTTTTCTCTGATTCATAGGATTTCTTTAAGTGTTCAGATTACTAACGTTTTTTGTTTTATTGCATGTGTTGAAATTTTTTTCTTCCACTTTTGAGGCTTGTCTTTTCACTCTTTAATGTTGCTTTTTAGACAAACAAAAGTTCTTAATTTTAATCTAGTAAAACTTGTCGTCTCCTTCCTTATGGTTTACGCTTTCAGAGTCTCACTTAAAAAGTTCTTTCCTAGAAGAGGAGTTAAGGTGGTGGAGGAGTAGGGGGACCCTAAGCTTGCCTCATCCCTTGAATACAGCTAGATAATTATCAAATCATTCTGAACACCCAAGAAATTGATCTGAGGACTAAGAACAAACTGCACATCTAGAGGTAGAAAAATGTCCACATCATAGAAGGTAGGAGCTGCCAAGAGGTGATTTGGGAGGAGAAAAGAACTGCAGGTGCTGCAGAGGGGAGGGAGCCCTGATCGCAGAGAGAGGAGCAAGAGAGAAAGAGTGAAGCAACAGGCAGGGGGTTGCACAAGAAAAACTCTTTCCCAAAACCATTGACTAGGAAAAGGAGAGGGGCTGACTACCACAAGTCTTTATAAGCAGTGGAGTTCAAAATCTTAAGTTCTAGACGTCTGCACCATCGCTGGGGTCGTGCCTGGCAGGCTTAGTGGTGGTCTGGTGGGGAAGGAGGGCAGAGGCCCAGGAGTGTGCAGTGTGGTCTAAGGATCCCCTGGGTCACATGGGGAGAAACAGTTCCCCCTTTGGGGAGTACCTTTGGGAGTTGTGGCATGGCCTCTCTGGGGGACTCAATGAGTGGGGAAAAGAAAGAATAAAAGCAACAAAGACTAGAAAGAAACAGAGAACATCATCAGATATACCAACCAGGTAACACAATGTCACTAAATTCATATCTATCAATAGTCACTCTAAATGTAAATGGACTAAATACTCCAATCAAGACACAGGGTATCAGAATGGATAAAAACACAAGACTCATCTATATGATGTCCACAAGAGTCTCATTTTAGACCTAAAGATACCTGCAGATTGAAAGTGAAGGAATGGAGAACCATCTATCATGCTAATGGACATCAAAAGAAAGCCAGAGTAGCCATACTTATATCAGACAAACTAGATTTTAAAACAAAGACTATAACAGAGATGAAGAAGGGCATTATATCATAATTAAGAGGTCTACACATCAAGAAGATCTAACAATTGTAAATATGTATGCCCCATCTTGGAAGCACCCAAATATAGAAATCAATTAATAACAAACATAAAAAAACTCATTGTAATAATATAATAACAATAGGGGACTTTAACACCCCACTTAATAGCAATGGACAGATGATCTAAGCAGAAAATCAAACAAGGAAACAATGACTTTGAGTGACACACTGGACCATGTGGACTTAACAGATATGTTTAGAACATTTCATCTTAAAGCAGCAGAATATACATTCTTTTTGAGTGTACATGGAACATTCTCCAGAACAGATCACATACTGGGTCACAAATCAGGTCTCAACAAGTACAAAACCATTGAGATCATTCCCTGCATATTTTTGGACCACAATACCATGAAACATGAATTCAACCATAAGAAAAAATTTGGAAAGACCACAAACACATGGAGGCTAAAAAACATGCTACTAAAGAATGAATGGGTCAACCACAAAATTAAAGAAGAAATAAAAAATTACATGGAGGCAAGTGAAAATGAAAACACGACAATCCAAAACCTTTGGGATACAGCAAAAGTGGTCCTAAGAGAAAAGTATATTGCAATACAGACCTACCTCTAGAAGCAAGAAAAGAAGTACACAACCTAACCTTATACCTAAAGGAGCTAGAAAAGGAATATCAAATAAAGCCTAAAGCTAGCAGAAGAAGGGAAATAATAAGGATTAGGACAGAAATAAATGATATATAAAAAAAACAGAACAGATGTATGAAACTAAGAGCTGGCTCTTTGAAAGAATTAATAAAATTGATAACCCCCTGGCCAGACTTATTAAAGAGAAAAGAGAAAGGACCCAAATAAATAAAATCATGAACAAAAGAGGAGAAATCACAACCAACAGCACAGATATACAAACAATTATAAGAGAATATTATGAAAAATTATATGTCAAGAAATTGGGCAAATCTGAAGAAATGGACAAATTACTAGGAACATACAAACTACCAAAATTGAAACAGGAAGAAATAGAAAATTTGAACAGATGCATAACCAGTAATGAAATTGAATCAGTAATCAAAAATCTCCCAACAAACAAAAGTCCAAGGCCAGATGGTTTCCCAGTGGAATTCTATCAGACATTTAAAGAGGAGTTAATAGCTATTTTTCTCAAACTGTTCCAAAACATAGAAATGGAAGGAAAACTTCCAACTCATTCTACAAGGCCAGCATTACCTTGATTAGAAACCAGACAAATACCCCACTAAAAAGGAAACCATCCCTGATGACCATGGATGTAAAAATTCTAAACAAGATACTAGCCAATCGAATCCAACAATACATTAAAAGAATTATTCACCATGATCAAGTGGGATTTATTCCTGGGCTGCAGGCATTGTTCAATATTTGCAAATCAATCAATGTGATACACCACATTAATGAAAGGAAGAACCAGATGATCCTCTCAGTAGATGCAGAAAAAGCATGTGACAAAGTACAGCATCCATTGTCTTTTTTTAAAGATTTATTTATTTTATTTATTTACTTACTTACTTACTTACTTACTTGTGAGAGAGCATGAGCTGGGGGTGGAGGGGTAGGGGCAGAGGTAGAGGGAGAAGCAGGCTCCCTGCTGAGCAGAGAGCCTGATGTGGGGCTCCATCCCAGGACTCCGGGATCATAATCTGAGCTGAAGGCAGACACTTCACTGAATGAGCCACCCAGGCACTCCACAGCATCCATTCTTGATAAAATCCCTCAACAAAGTAGGCTTAGAGGG